CAACCGTGTGCGTTGGGATTGTATGGTAGAGATGCATGGCACCAGATACGCGCCGAACTGTGTTACGAACTTTGGCGAACTGGTGGAGTCTGTCTTTTCTCGTTAGATAGTGTATTCTCCACTTGTACTGTCCAGCGCTTGGATGCCTGTCGGTATTGTTCTGTCGCATTGACTGTCCGCCGGGAGGCAGTACAGCGAGCAGTGGCCCTTCGGCGGAAGCAACATTTATTGTCGTCATACGTACGGACATGTACTCCTTTGTAATGCTAGTCTGAAGTATGACGTTAGCACGTATGTAGCATATTACTATTGGTCGCGATCTTTGTGCTGTCGGACGACCGATGGCCGTACCCGCTGGGCAGGCGGTACGAGTGTGGGTGTATGCTTGGCCATATGTATCCGTCAAACGTTGATCACGTGGATGCCGGGTAGTGTAAGTTTCCTATTCCATCAATTTGGAATATTTCTGGCCTTGTCGGACGATGCCTCCTATTGCCCATTTTCGGCCACCTCGCCTCAGCCTCACGCTGCTGTGCTGGACTCTGGAGGATTCGGACGCGCTTTTGGAAGCTATAGTCGGCTCTGGATATCCTCGGCCGGGAGTTATCGTGGTCGACTTGATCTGCTCGCGTCGTAGTTGTCGGTCGAAGACGTTTGGGTACTTCCAGCCCTCGACCAGCAAACCGCGTCTTCTCACAATTGTACACTGTGCTTCAAACTTATGCTTCGTCGTTGATCTTCAACGGGCCGGTGGTGCGTTCGCTTGGTTCTCCCGCTCTATGATCTTTTCGCTACGTACGTCCTTGCAAGATCGTGCGCGTGACTCGCTCTCACATTGCTCACTCTCCATACAACTTACTGATGGGTTATCAGGCTTTCCAGAACCTCTTCGCTGTCTTATGAAAAGTAAGGCGATCGTCAAATGCGGCGTAGGCGTGCGCGGTCAGTTCATTGGACGTAATTTTCGGTATCGTACGTGACGCGCGACGGGCAGATATGTGTCTTGAGCTGCAGAGTCGTTACTCTGTCCAGTTTTGCAACGTCGTGGACTTGAACCGTATGTATGAAACCGTACGCCCTGAGATGGTGGTTGGTTTGGGAAGGCCACTTTGTCTGGAGGAACTTGTTTACCGCATGTTCAAGAGGTCGTTCGAACGCGACTCTGACGTCGTACGAGAGCATGGGATGCCCGTCAACGTCCGCGAACTACAGTGTAAGCAGCTGTCTACAATTTGTATTCATTAGTCTTGGGCTGTGTACTGATACGCTTTTCTCGCAGTAGTCACGGATAGGGCGTTCGCGATGGCACGCGTATTCACTAGGCTAAGTATGTACATGACGGCAACTGTTTCTTCGCAATGTTCGCCTTGTCTGTATTGTTACAATACACGGGTTGAAACGAGGTATGTGTCCACGCTCACCGACAATCGTTCGAGTGCTTATATCTAACGAAGCCTCGCTACGTTCGTCAGAGCGCTTGTCATCGTCTCTATAGCGATCGTCGGCATGGGTGTGCTGTTGGGGGTCAGCACGCAATGTTATACTGGCTTGCAGTTTGGGTCGGTAGGCGTGCTGTTAAAGTGCAAGTGGTAGTCTTTACGATTTATTGTATCATGTTTTCAGTCAAGAGAAACAACAACGTCATAAACAAACATTATGGGCTCCTACCCCGTCACGGGGTCGTGCGAAAGGTAGCGCGGGGGTAAATGGTCCGTATTCTTACGCTCGTATTGCGTCGTTGAGGGTTGCGTCTAAACATCGTCACTACACGTATATTTCTCTTGACGCGTCTCGCTCAGAGATATAGCAATAAGCGGACCTGAGATCAAGTGGCCGGAACATTCGCATGATGGCGTCCACCGAAGAGGGGTCTTCTGCAACGACAGAAACCAACGACAAGACACGCTCTGTCAGGACGCGAAGCGCTCGGGCCGGTCTGGTTGTGAGCATGTCGTTCTTGAGGACATTGCCGTGGCTGATGTGGATGTCGCAGTTTCCTGTCGGTCGCGTTCATAGATATATCAAGCGATTCAATGTCGGGAAATGTAGAGTTGGCTCGAAGGCGGCTGTCTACACCGCTGCAGTACTGGAATATCTCACGGCGGAAGTGGTCGAGCTGGCGGGTGCGTAGCCTAGGACATTTTCCGAGTAGGACATACTCATATTATGTTAGGAAACGCTGCCAAGGATCTAAACGTCAAACGTATTACTCCTCGCCATCTGTTTCTGGCTGTACGCGGTGACGAGGAATTGGAGATACTCGCTCGTATGATCGTCATTCCGGGGGGCGGTGTAATGCCTTACGTGCACAGACAAGTATTAGGCAATAGTTAAGAACAAGTGTCGTAGATGTCGACTGTTTGTTATTTTGTTTCGCCATTACATATATCCTCTGGTTGTGTCTATCAGTGGATAGTCTCATGCAGAGAATAAAACGATCATATAGCTTCGCGGCGCATTTGACGCCGGAACGATGAATAGGGGTAGGATCCAGACGTAGGAACTTGGAGGGTGTCTTGGAAATGTTGCTCGTGTATGACTGCACTGTTACCCGCAGCGCACGTACATTTCTATAGTGCGTCGATTCGAGCACCTAGATACTCCCGGTTCATTGGTACTATAACACTGCGCTCGGTGTTGGTCGCAATATCTTGCGTTTAGCAATGGTCGGGATTGTACAACTATGCTATTTGGTTGAACGTATCGTGAGGTGATGTGAACATGCTGATATCGGGATTGATATAGTCGGTCGCGCGACAAGTGCCTGCGAGCGGTTTCGCCTTTCTATTTCGTGCAAGTGAAGATGCTTTTCTTGCTACAACATCTGCATAGTCGGGTGTGCTGGCGCTTCGATTACAGGGTTTCTGACGACAGATGGATACTAGCATATGCAAACTAATAAAAGGTGGGTAGATATGTAGATCGTGATGCTGAAACGGTGCGTTCGGGCGTTGTGAGCTCTTGGTGATTATATTGGAAGTCGTCCTGTTTACCAATGAGATCGTTATCTTTCTGCACCACCGTCGTACCTTTACACTTCGCCGAGTTGCAGCGGCAGTCCCTGTATTGTATGCTGCTGTTTTCCTCCGAGTCGTCTGCCGTGTCAACGTATGAGATACACAGTTCCTCCCCGGCGTGGATCGTTCTGTTAGCGAAGAACGTGATGCGGGGTACGGCGATATAGTGCTAATATTTTTGAGATAAACGCGAGGAGCGCGGAAGGTGCGAACGTACATCAGTGTACACTCCGACTACGGTCAAGTTTGGGTCGCAAGAATGATTTACATATTTCGTGAACTGCGCAGTTATAGTAAGAAGAGCTTTAGCCTTTTTTTTCATCGAGAAGTGCTGGACCTTACGTTGCCAATGCGGGAGCTATCCATGCATAACTTCACGTCGTGTACGTCTTGCTCTTCGTGGTCGGATGCGTCGCTATAAAGTGTAAGTTGTCCACTTGTCGTGCGCCGAGGCAAACGAGAATCAAGATAGACGGACCGTCTCCACAGCGTGCGATCTAAAAACCAGAAATCGAGCCCGAAAGCGTGGCTGTTAACGCTCGTCGTGTCGCTGCGTGGACAGTGCATGTTAGTAGACAGATCACTGGCATAAATCTCGACTTCACCGTTCCCTACGATCGGCTTCCGCTACCGTGATCAACTCGCCTGCAAACGTTCCGATGTATTCACCACGACGAATAATTGTGTCTGCATTGAACAGTGCCCATCCTTTGGAGGCCGTTTTTTCAATACGCATGGGTAGTGTGCGGTTCAGTCGAACGACCTTATTTTCCTCGATAAATACGTGAGGAAGGATGCTGCAGTGGAGTAGACACTTGCGATGTTAACACAATCACTTGAGCATGTGCAACGTTCGCCGCACTCTACGACCGGGCCTTTGTATTCGAGAACGTCGTGAGAGAGAAGCCCTTGCGCGTCGTACGCATTTTGATCGAATACGCGTGCGCTTTCGTTAGCACACGCGCAGCCCTGATCTGTTGTACATTCGCCTTGGCAGCTGTAGTACGCCCTTAGCTAATGTATGCTGTTCGTACGCCGTGTATGTACCTGCACGAGGCGTTGGTGTTAGCCAGTGCCGCTGCTGTTTCTTGCGTGCACCATAATCTGTTTGAATAGACGAAGTTCCAGTCGGGGGCGACTTCGTGATCGACATTGTTCGATATCGTAATAGACGGCTGTCCTATCCCTTGCGTCAATGGCGTCAGCGTCTGTCTGTGGGTGATACCACTTACCTTGATGGTCTCCGTCTGCCTTGTGAATGCAGTTTTCAATTGCAACCTTCAACGTTCCCTGGACGACTGCGTGAGCGCACGCTCGAATGTTGATATACGTGGCTGTCTCACCAAACCTATGGCGTCCGCCGCAATGCGCTGATTTTGTGCGTCCATGAGAGTGTGCCACTGCTCACTGGTCTGGTCAGGATGACTGTTTGACCCGATGGAGATCAATGGCTCGGTCGAGATAAAGGATTCGGACGTCGAAGAAACAGCCATGGTGATGGCAGCGAGTTCAAGGAAGTAGATCGTATGCCGGATGTTTCCTCGCTATATGCCGTTTTACCACGCGACATGCGGTTCTCGGCGTTACCCGAATTCACGCGCCGTTACTATGTGTGACATTGTGGTCCTGCTACTTCCCATTCGGATCGTACTGCACGTCCGAGCTGCGGCACTCGGCGTTGGACGATGATTTTACTTCTCCTAGACGTAGTACGTCCGAATTGCCTCTTGCGCGAGAACAGTTTTGTAGACGAACTGGTTGGATCGAGTTGATTTCAATATCGTAGACTGTCGAAACCAGGCGTTCCCGCGGAAGTAATAATTGAGGGTGACGGTTTGTCCGGGTATCGGTTGGGTCATTCCACTGGCCCTGGCCACGTCCCTGCCGGGGACTCGCTCTTATCTATTTTCTCGCGGTCTGTCATCAGCTTTCTCGTCGTCGCTGTCCGCCGTTCATCGTCACCCCGGTGTGTATCACTGAACTATGGAGTCTGGCGTCTGTCCCGACAGTGCGTCTGTACGCTCTTAACGACGTACTCTGGCGTTGATTGCTTTTAGTGCCCGCGGAGATGACTAACGCCATAGTCGAGCAGTGCGATCGGCCGACTCTCTTCGCTCTCATGAATACTGCGTCTACCCTCCGATTTTTCGCGCGAAGGATCTTCTTCCAGCGGGTGACCGTACGCTCGAAGGAGGATGCAAGCAGACTGCTAGATCAACAGGACATTCACTCCTTCGTTAAGGAGCTGCGGATGTTCTCGTGCTTGACCCCACTGCGCACGCCGGTGCTGGTAAATGTCGATACGGTCCGCCTACGACTTGGGACGACGTCGGAATCCAGGACGGATACGTGCGTCCCGAGGTTCTTGAACCGGTTCCCAAACTTGCGGCATCTCGAAATCTCCGCGGGCTTCACCACCGTTGAGGCGTTGGATCTCACCCTTCGGGGGGTTGCGTCTGACCTGCACAGCTTGCGTCTCCAGTTCGTCGTCAAGGCACCCAAGGGTCCTCCACCTGTGCAGTGCGCGGAATTCCCTCATCTCCATAACGTCGCCATATCTTCTGCGTTGCGTGTTCCCGTTCTACGCATCTTGCAGGGATATCTCAAGCCACGCGGAGATGACCTTACGCACCTCGCTTTACCAGAGTCGTTGGGATGGGCGGATGTTGTCGATGTGTTAAAGTACGCGTCTCAGCTCGAGGAGCTGACAATTGAAGCGATCGACGACATATTTTCCTACCGTGCGTCCTTTTTTTCCATTGTCTGTGGGCCTAGGCTAATCTTTACTGCCTCTTTCATCAAGCGATTACACCGCCTCCGCGTCTACCCAAGTTGCGGAAAGTTGTCTTCGTCGTGCGCCAGGAGAGTCCATGCGACATGGACCACTGGATGTGTATGAAGGACTTCATGTTCGTCGCTGCCTCTCCTCGTGCCCTTCCTTTGCTGGCGGAGATCGGCGTCGTTGTGCATGGGTGGCAAATGCAGCCGGACATTCTTTGCAGTGATTGGGAGTACGCGTTGTTCGACAGTGGTCGCAGGGCGTGCTCTCAGGCCCTTTGGCGGTCCTGGGCGAAATGTGTTTTGGGGAGGAATCGATCGCTGGAGATGATAGTGTATACAGCAGACCGCCGTGACACGGATTTTTTTGATCTGCTTACTGACACGGTCGGCGCATGCCTCGGATTCTTAGGACCTGACCGTTTCTCAGCTACTGTACTGCCGCGCACGGAAATCATGTAGGGCGTCTATCGAAATGATTCGTCGTGTACCTGGCGCGCTACAGCTCTCACCACTTCTTATGTATGCGAAATGACTTGTACTCTAGCACCGTACAAGTTACGGTATGGGCGTGTCTCCGTTGCTCTTGTGCGGGAACGCACTGGGGCGGAACCAAAACCGTTTGCTCCATTTGGCGCGACCGCGTCCCGACGTCGGGACGGAACACGTGGCACCCTGCGTCGATTGTTCCCCCTTTCCTCTTACCCGCATGTAGATGAGGGGGCTCGAAGAGTGAGTCCTTTGAGGTTGTGTTCGAATCATCCTGTTCTGACGTGGGGTAGTACTGTCGTGTCGTCTGTGATTTCGTGGCGTGTTTGCGCTCCCTTGTCGTCCACGGAACGCTCAAGACGCCATCGTGCAAGTGCGGCTGTCAAGGCCAAGGAAAGAGCAACCGCTGCATCTAAAAGGTAAGAATGTTTTGTCACTCGATGACAGATACAATGCTAACGCCAATATCGATTGTTCAGGCTGAAGATGGTTGAAACCCTGAAGCGTTTGCAAGCAGACAACGAGCGCTTGCTTTCCGTATCGGAATCTAGTTCGTTCATGCCCTTCTATAGTATATCACGACGATTGATCAGTTGTCAGAACCGTCCCCGGAAGCTGTAATGCGTATCCTACGCGCGATACGGGATAAGTATATCGCCAACATCCCGACGGCACTGTCGCGCGCGAGCAGGTCGCGCAACTTGACGTATGGGGAACTCGAACCATGTTTCGTTTACGGCCTTTTGGATGACCTACGGGTCGCACGGCACTCCGTCCTGGTAGATCTGGGCTCCGGTGCCGGTACCTTCGTTATTCAAGCCGCGATTCAGACGGGTTGTACGGCTTTCGGGATCGAGCTTCAAACGGAACTGGCCGACATCGCTGCAGACGCGGTCATTAACGCTCGTAGTGCTTGTGCCGCGCGCCACATCAATATTGGGCAAGTCACTTTGGTACAAGGCGACATGCTTGCTAGTTGTGAGACGGCCAAGGCGATGAGCAAAGCGGACGTTGTTATGGTTAACAACAAAGTCTTCGATAGTACTTGTAAGTCCCGCTGGCAATCTTCGATGGACTCCAACCGGTCTAATGCGGATGTATCAGTGAACGAGAGTATACTTATCGAGTTAGTGCCACTTATGAAGCATGGCGCGGTCATCGTAAGCACGGAACGGTTCATCGACGGTAAAGCCACACGATCTGGCCGAGTTCGTCAGGATCGTTCTCAATTCGTCTACACGAAGAACGTCGGCGGAGACATACTGGTAAGTGTTGTAATTGCTTGCAGGGCGCGACTTGTCTGACAGATTGACAGTCGTGTCCACATGGGCGGTCCCTTGAAGTCGTGGCGAGGCCGTATCAGGAAGGTTCTGTGTCGTGGTCTCACTCCGGCGGCATATACTTTATACATACAGTATATGACGCGGACGACTGTCGGTCACGCCAGGCGTACGCGTCTGCTAAGTACGCGTGTTGATGTCAATAACACACGGGAATGTATATGTAGCCCGATTCGGGCGTTTTTTTTTTTAAAAAAAAAGGGAATTTACGGTCTGTTGGCAGAAGCATTGTGGCACCCAGATGTAGTAAAATATATCTACGGCCGCACATACAGGAGGAGATACAGTTCCTCCTCGTTTTCAGGATCTTGGATAAATGATGTTAACGGAATAGCGGATGGTAGAAAGATATACACACTACGCGTATAAGCAGACTTGTTCGCCTTGCGTATTGAAATGGATGCGCACGCATGTTCAGCAGCTGCCTCCGCGTCGTTTTTGATCCACCTTGGATGCAGTCACGTACGCGGTTTACTATATAGCTCTGGACGTACCAACGAGGACCGGACACGCTTTGAAGTGCATGTTCTACGTACGCGGTTTGCAACTGACGATTAGCGAATGTATAACCGTCCGGATCAGCTACGCCTTCGCGAAGGGGGTGATACTTGAGATGTGATCGGAGCATTCGGGCGTTGGTGGCGAAGAGAGGTGGCGCGGGGCAGTACGATAATCTTTTGTAGTACAACCTCCAGGAGTTCCACCGAACCCTGTCCGTCTGGATAGCGGACGTATGAACGGTATCGCTAGCAGACAATCAATGATTGTCGTTCACGAATGTGTACGACTCACCTATACTCGTAAGATGCGCGACGCAAGTAATCCACTCGTTGCTGTGCGATTTGCCTTCGGGTCCGTCAGATGCCTGTGATAACGGCGCACGAACGGACTTGCCTGGTCGGGCTCGTTCTTTCACAATCTGGTACGTAGGAGTCTTGATTCACTTGGGGGGAGCTGGAAATGCTTCCTTAAACGCATTGAAGGGAGGCCGTATGAGACACGTACGGGATCGAAGGTAGGGGGTACACCCAAGACGCAGAGTCTCCAACGAATCGGTATCGTCGACCAAAGGTTCTCTCTGGATTGCTTGCTTCTCCGAGAGATATGCAAGTTAGAATGTCCCAACCGCGTTGTCTGTACTTGGCCAACGCTTGCACTACCTTCGGTCTTGTGTCGTGCGCGCGTACTGCTAGCGAACGCATGTTTTCGAAGGTCTCTTGAGGGTATAACGAATACGCATGCGAGTGCGAGATCATGTTCATAACCGCCGCTGTAAGGGTGATCAGCACAATAAGCCCGTAATGTGCGCAGAATTTTCGGCTCACTGCTGTGGAAATCGAGTACCACATCGGCTACACCGCGGCGGCAAGTCATTACCTGCACTGTGCAACCGTTGGCGGACACGAAATCGAACGCTCCGGACAGAGATGAAACGAGATAGGACGCTGTGTGCACGGACCAAACCGCAGTCGCGTGAAGGAAGGCTTCTTCAAATGTGGGTTCTTGATTGGTACGTGGGCGAAATGTGTATCCGATGGCGACCAAGAAGTCGTGGACGACGATGGCGTTGACTTGGGGGACATAGACGTCCATGTCACTGACTTCGAAATCGTAACGGCCCATGAACTTCAAGGCGACTGAACCTGATACGACAGCTCCGGTGTCTCGCTGGACGCGGCGAAAGGCCGGTATGGCGTCCTCCGGCACGAATGGTTTGAAGGCCTTGCGTACGTCCAGAGCACGGCCTAGGTAGGCTTGTACTCTTTCACGCATCTGCTTGTTCACCCTCGCCAGGCGAAGGATTGAGGTCATTGGCAGCGAGTCCATAAAGTGATCGTCCAAGTCGCGCAGCCTACCGCTCTCTGTAAGCCCAACGGCGAACCTGCGCACAGTTGCGCAGGCTCCACGCTGTCACGCTGAGATAGGGTAAGGCACTGACATTATAGTATCCTTGCCGTCGTCCATAACTGCTTGAGTGGCGTGAAGATCGTCGCCTGCGAGTACGAAGCGCAGAGGTCGATCGGAAGAGAATGGACGGGCAAATGTGCGCGTTGTTTGGTCGCTCCGATACGCCGCGCATACAATAAAGGGGGTGAGCGGATCGACTGGCGCCGCGGCGCGCGACCATTGAGATAGGAAAACGGAACGTTTTGTACGCCTTCGGAGGCAAAAGCGCGGCTGAGCAAAGCCGCCGCCCCTGTTGCACCATCGTTCTCTTCCATCTGGTTGAGTACCTTTTTTGTATGCCTCTGTGCCATGGAAGTACGTTAAAGGTTTGCGCTGCAGTCATACGCAATAAGTCCATTTCGATCCATGGCATGTGGATTCGACGTTTCCTCGACTCAATTTCCTTGGTTGTTCCGCTTCCGCGAGGAATGACGCTCCGTCCGGCGGTCTTTCTTCCATTGCGAACTGGATCGCAGCATGTTTTCATAATCACCTGCCGTCGGCGTCACTCCCCCTTCCCGCTGCGAATGTTCACAATTTGCTTAGAGGTTATGTGTGCCCATCGAGCAAACGTAGAGTACACGACACGTTCGAACCCCGTGAGGTATAATAGGCTAGTTGGTACACAATACGAACACGTCGGAACATATTCTGTTCGACTATCTGTCACGTTGGACGCTTCAACAACCCAAGGCGCTGCGTGTGGACGCCCTGGAAGCGACGTCAAGGCAGATGGCCATAAGCTCCGTAGATGCGCGTGTCGTCGTCCACCTAAGACTCGGTCAGATTAGTTTTCGCAGTCGTACTGCACTTACAGGTTGATGGGCATCTTGGAACGCGAGGCGGACTCCGTGAAGCGATCTGCCATGTGCGGGTACGCAAAACAAAAGGCGTCGATATTCCATTCCTCGTCTACACCTGTCCACGTTTCCATCTGCGGTTTCATGAACCACCAATGGGGTATTGGGTCGTTCGAAGTCGGACGAGGTCAAACAGCTTCGCTATACTTTAGCGTCCACGAGTTATACTTTATCTTGTCTGACGATCCCGGATACGAGACCCTACGCTCATAATGATCATCGGCGAAACCAGGGTAGTGCATCACTCACGGATTGTTCAACTTGATGATGCGCGTCATTTCGTCCCCCACGTACCGAAAGCCTTTCCCGAATTCCGTGTTGTGCGAAAGGGCGTCGATGGGAGACATTTTGTCGACCACTTCCCAACCTCGCTGCTCGTACTTAGCCAGAGCGACCGCCTCACATTCCCTCGTGTCTCCTTTGCAGGTTTTCAGAGTGCGTTTGTCGACGAATGTGGCGTGAGGATACAGTGAATACGCTGTATCGTGCGTGATCATGTTCATGACAACAGCTGACGGGGATCAACGCGACATAACATGGGGGGATGGGAAGAACGTACTGCTATGGAATTGGAGAATGGTTTCCGCCACGCCCAACCGACACATCATCAGTTGAATCTTCGCCGATCCTCGCATGAACGTGAAGGTCTCGACTTCGGTGTAATCAGAAGACGACTCGGTGGAATCGACCGTCCCCTCAGGAGTGATGCTGTCGTCGCACGCGCGAGACACGGCGGAGTCGAAGTGAGGTTCTTGAACCGCGCGCGGTGTGAAGAGGTATCCTATCGATGCAAGGAAGTCACCGATCGGCAATATGTCGCCTCCGAAGGCGTAAATGTCTAAGTCTCCCTCCTCGAAGTCGTATCTGCCAATGAAGCGGAGAGCAAAAGAGCCTGAGATGACAGCGTTGTTGTCTCGCATGCGAAGGCGCAGCTGACGAGCTTGCTCGATGGTCATGTACCTCTGGAGGGCCGTACACAGATCATACACGCGGTCGCGATAGGACTGCACTGCGTCTCGCGCCTGCGAGCAGGAGCCCGCAAATTGGATGAGATCGGTGTCGTCCACTCCCGACATTATTAGCCCGTGTAGGTCTCCCCTTGATCGTGGTCAGTTGCGTGGAAAGGCGTAGCAGGGCAGAGCCTTACATAGACAAGAGCGTGCTAATGCTGGTAGGACGATGCGCGGACATACCCGTGTACTCTGTGAATACAACAAGACGGTAGAAGGAAGCAGGATGCGACTGCCGTCGACCGCCCGCCGTCCGCCCGCATTTTTCGGGGTGGAATGTGGCGGGCGCTCGCCGATATGCCACGCCCTGATCGCCTGCTCTTTTTGCTTCCGCGTACAATCCATTGCGAACACGCATGGCCCGGCCGGGAACAGAACGACATAAGGGGCACACGGAAACGTCTTAACTGGTTCGAATTCAGGTGCTGACGTCTTTTGGGGCATTACTCGGGTGGCCCAAGCGTTTGTTTGATTGTGGGCTTTCTCCTCGTTCGCGATACGGTGGACTCTTCGAGGGGACTAAAGCCCGTATACTATAATTTGGCGGGTCATACGTCGTACACTGTAGCTACCACGTTCCCCCCTACAAGCGAAGGCAGATACTGTGTCGGGTCAATTTGATAGGGAAAAAGAAAGCAATGATCCGTCCACGCGCGCGTCGTCAGCAAAGTTGGACGCGGTGTCATGATGGTTCTACAACAGATACGAAAGATCGATATAATCTCCTGGATGTTGCCAGTGGGCACCATCGACGTTGTATTCGCGAGCGCGGGTGTACCAGGCTGATGGGGATTCTTTCTTGCCGCGTCTTGGCGTGATCTCGTGGATGACCCGTTCGCACACGGATACAGCGACATTGTCGATGTCGAGACGCGCCCACTTGCCGTAGCCTTTAAGGAAACGTGCGAGCAGACGACCACCGTCGGATCGTTCGCTCTCGACAGCACGCGCGGGTGCTTGCGACGCCCGTGGAATATAACGATCCGGCCAGAGAATCATGAGACAAAGTGCAAGCATGCTCTTCCGACGGAAGCCTACAGAGCGAGCACGCTTATGAGCATGGGACTGCATCGGTGTTGGAGAACAACTCACGTTCACCGTTCCTCACTCGGCTGGGAAGAGAGGCAGCCATATAAATCAGCATGACATGCAATAGAACGTGATTGTGGTTGGTCCCTTGAGTGTCCGTGAGAACCTCGAATGCGCGATAGAACTCCATATGCTGCAACGTATGAAACGAGCACCAGTGCTTCCCCGCTGTAGCGCAATGCGTTGGAGTATACACCGCATGGGCTGTACCGGGAGCTTGAATGCTAGTGCGGCATTAGAAACGGTACCAATAACAACAAAGTACGTCGACGTACAAGAGGTCACCCTCCTCCAAAATGAGAATGGCACCGTTATCTGGTCCTATGGTCCAGTCGCTGTTTGGGATGTGGAAGTCGCCCCTCGAAGCACCGTATTTGCTCGCGCCAGCCACGACATGCTTCATCCGTTCCGCCAGATTCGCAAATGTCGCGGTACTCGGAGGTGTAAAACGAAGAATGATCCACATCTTACGACCCTTGCCCCGCACCTGGACTGATGTGCCCAGCCCCATTGCGTCGAAATGAGGCATAGTAAAGAAGCCCCGTTGGTGTAGGAGACACCAGTCGAAGGTGCGCCATACGTCTGATGGAAGCATGTCGTAGTCTTCAGTCGTATCTTTAAAGAACCGTGTTCTTGTGACGATGTGCCCGTCGGATAAACGCCTGTTGAGAAACATGTAAGTCTACCGTACCTGCCACGATCGTAAGACTTGCTCAATGATTGCATCGCTGCTGGGGAGACCTGGTAAGAGCTCTAGAATGCAGCGAGGCGGATTCGAGCCGTCCTGTATGTACTCGTGGAACTCGTTAAGAGACATCATGGTACGGCTCTCTGGTGGAATCGGGTTAGCCGCGGGCGTGTGTTGCTGATTGACACGCTTTGGGCCAGGTGCCCCTTTGTGCTTATGGATTGTTGATGATGAAGCACGTTCGCTTTTCGCTGTATCGACCGAAGAGTCACTGTTGCGTCCTGCTTCGTCCTTGTCTGATTGCGTCTCGACCTCTCTCAGGTACATATCTGACAAGTTAAGCACGTGTCATAACGAGTGGGGGCGCTCGGTTGTACTCACCGTGTACTTCCAACGGAGTGTGAAGATCCAAACCGAGTCCGCCTCCTGCTGGGAATCGACACCCCCAGTATTGTGGCGTCATCGCGTCGTCAACATCGTCACGTCCACTGACTTGCGGCACCTTCAATCCACCACCTTTCACCAGTACGGATACGCCTTGCTCTAAACTGGCGACGGCTTGGTCTAAGATGTCGTTCACTGGACCGTTCGTTAACACTGTGAGCATGTCGGGCCGTTCAAGGGCGCTGGGAAACATTTTTGCGCAAAGATCGACGCAATTGGCATCCTTCCGACACGTTAGTCCTCTCCTCCTTAGATCATTCTTGTGCTTACCCATGCCAAAACGTTCACTCGAGGATTGTCCGTCGTGTGGTACGGGAGGTACGTTATGGCATTGACTGACTGCCACCACGTAGTCGGTGTGCCATGTCGGACCGCAACGTTGCTCGTCAGATCTAGTGAATGTACGGACGCTGACGAGCCGTCCGCGTCGCTTTGATCAACTGCATTAGTGATTTCTTGCTTATGTGGTAAGAGGCAGATTAAACCTTTGACTTGTGCTCCCGGTTACTGTTGTAATCGAGTGGCAATGATCCGACGAACAGTCCGCTGCAATGTTGTGACTCGCTTCTGATGTCCTGTGAATCACTTAGTACGCTATTGATTATTAGGGCGAAAGCAAATTACGTTGCTAAGTCGTTCGAACCAATGGGTGCTGTCGGGTGGACACATAACGAAGGGTCCGGCTCTGACCGTGACGTGTATTCCCACGTGGGGGCCTCATTCTGTCTTGTTGAGCTGCCTGATTGTGCTGGTCCGCTACTGGGTACGCCTCAACAGAAGATAGAGAGGGTTAGCACGTATGCAAAAGCCGTGTATCTCTCTGAGAACGAACCTGGGCCGTTTACCACGTCGTCGACGGATTGCTCGTTGACGGAAAAAGCGACAACGTCGTACGAAGTTGGTCCTCCGGTTGTTGTGTGACGTTTTCTCTTCTTCTTGGGCGGTTCTTCGGACCAATCTAGAAAAGTGAATGACATGCTCACGGGTGCTGTCGACCGAAGTAAGCAAAAAAGCAAAAGGCACGCGGAGAACAGCGAGGTGTGGAACGCCGCCACCCGGAAAAGCTCGGTCCGATTACCCCGGCGGGTGTATCCTTAAACGATCAAGCTTATTTGGGTCAATCCATTTTTGGACAGCCGCAAACAGTAATGCCCGTTTGGGTTAATCCATTTCGGGATAACTGTTTCCGTGTCATGCCATATACGTAGAATGCACATAAAGGGGATAGACGCGACATGCAGTGCTGCGTACTTCGCACGCTGCCTGGCCACGAAAGCAAACAAGTATTGCATGTGCACTCATCCAAACGTTCGCTTCAGAACCGGTGTATGACCAGCTCGACTATAAGCCCGTGTTTGATAGTGGATGTGTACTTAGAGGTTGATAAAACCGCTTATTCGTTTCTCTTTCAGACGTCCAGAACAAGATAGTATCTTATATCGCTTGCGCTTCGGTACACTCTGGGATCTTATAGCAGGCAGTACTTACGCAATCTGCATACCGTTATCATTCCCCTCCTCCTGCGTCGGTCGTGCTCTCTTGTCCGTGGGTTCCTCCTGTGCGCCGAAGGCCCTACCCGGTCGTTTGATACCGGGCTTCGATGGGGTCGTGAGCGTCGTTACGTTCATAGAAGCCTTCCAATTGGCCAACTGATCACCCGCTAGTTGAGCCCTTGTCGTGACACATGCGCTGAACCATGACTTACATTCGTTGGGCCATCATCCAGCAATGCGATGCCGCGCAACACTTTCAACATGTACCAATCCGCCTCCGCGCCTCTGGTGAACTGAGGTACTGCAACGAACGAGATTGTGACGGCGACTACGTCACCAACTTGGAACGTGGAAGGTGGACATTCGGTATAGCTAACGAATGATTAGCGTCCGCGCCACTTAACGAAAGTTCACAACGTACCTCAGCGCACCTGCTGGCCCTTCTCCAGAAGCGATATAGTATTCTACGGAGTTAGAATTGGTGTAGACCAGTTGTCCGTACGATTCGAGCATAGCCTGAAGGTACCGCTGTGGGAATGGGTCGATATTCTCTGGCACAGATTCTACGCTTGCAGGGTCGGCGTCCTTGACATGGCTGAAGTAGCGGCTGGCGAACCCGATGGCTTTGCCGCATCTGGTTTGGGTGGGCGCGCTAGTGGTGACTCGGCGTCCGATGCTTCGTTGGAACAGATTTCGTATATGCTCGATGTTCCTCATCGCAGCCGCGAACAACGGGTTGTCAAACGCTACGATTGCAACGCCTTGCTTGGCTTGACGAGCACGTCGTAGTGTCGCGCTTCTGACATACTGAGGTTAGCCATCGTCGACGGAATAGTAAGTGCGAACGCACTGATAGTCCGAGCCAACCGGGGGCAGATCCACCCTCCATAAGACGCCGACTATCTCCAGTTGATACTCGGTCTCACCATCAGGCATAACGAGTACGCGCGTGCGGTCGTTGTACCCTGACGCTATGCGAACCTGTGTCGAAGCCGACGGGCTCTGCAAGACATCAGCGTTTGCGCGCTTCCCACTAAGGCGAAGGGTAATGGCGCACGTCCATGAAAGTCCCCAAGCATTTATCTGGCGCCGCCGCAGCGCGTCGAGAGGATATGTCTCCCACTATATTCTCTACACCGGTGAATGATGTCAGCGTACGCGACGACCCAAGAGTATGGGCTGCTTACTGGCTCGTTCCTCGTCGTACAAGTCAGGAAACTTGGAGACGTCCATGTCCGTTCCAGAGGATATAAGTATGGTTAAGGAAACAGGCGCGTACAAAACCAGCACGTCGGGGTGCGAGAAGACGACTACCTGCGGGACGCGCGTCGTCCTTGCACCTTAACCCATAGCACCCTTTTTCCCTTCTGCGACCGACTCGGTTCGTATGTGCAGTCGAACCAGTATCCGTGTGGAACGGAAAACCAATACCCTGTTTTGAAGGCGTGTCCATTCATGTTCGTATCTCGTTTTGAATCCGCTACCTTGACAGTCCCGCGCGCTGCGCAAGTGGTGCACCTCGAAAGGACTGTTCCCCATTCCCCGCCGCACTAGAACCCTGAGGCAAATCTGCCGGTGGTCGCCTGGTAAGCGCTCCTTCCAGCGCTTTTGTCCAATATACGCCTCGTTTCTGATTGTTATGCTCTACCAATGGATGGCAAAGGCTTGGGCGACGTCGGAACGGTTTGATTCCGTTTACTTAGGAATCTGGTTCCGTCGCCCCCCCCCCCTCATCCGTTACCTATCGCATTGTCCCCATACCGTGGGTCTTGCTGCTCCCTTACGCACAGGACGTACGTCGTCGCGGTAAGGTGTCGTAGCGATGCAGCAGCTCCCAGTTGTCCTTCGCATTATCACCAGCAGTCTCGAGATCCGCGACGAATATAAAGTCCCGCTGGTATCCATCCATGATTTCCGTCCCGGTCTGGATCGTACCTCCATTTCTCCTTGCCGGTGGCCGACTTACCGACCAATGTACACGTCTGGCTGTTTCTTTTTGCCGGAGGGAGAGGGGGGGAGGAGAAAGGAACCGAGCGGGTGGTATCATGCGCACCTTTAATTGACCTCGTTTCTCTGGACTTTGTCGTTTTGGCCTGACTCTTGCTCTCTCGTCGATCATGTCCGACCAGACGCCCTCGCGAGCGTCGACCCGCACCCGTGTTCCGTCTTCAAAGAAGATCCAATCGTATGCTGCCCTCTTGGCCCTGTGCGAGATGGATGCTGACGGCTGCCCAGGGACGAGTACCAGAAAGATGCCATGAAGGACGTGGAAGAGGAAGCGGGGGAGGAAGAAGAGGAGGAGGAGGAAGAGGAGGAGGTTGTTGTTCCAGCGAAACCAGCTGGAAAAAAAGGGTCGCGGTGAGCTTGCACACCTTCCTTCGCTACGCATCAGCTGAAGAGAGAAACATATTCAGGGCTGCCCGCATTCCGGACAGTGACAGTGAGGACGACAAGGAAGAAGGGGATGGTGATCAGTGAGTGTGAACCGCGGACGGACGGTCAAAGGCTTACCGCGGTCGCCTCAGCGACGTCGGTGATAATGGCGAAGTGAAGAGAAAGGGAACGGACGGCAACGAGACCAGTGAACAGGCCAACGACAGCGGTGACGCCGTTGAGGAAGAGGACGATGACGACGTGCCGCTGGCTTCCAAGGTGCCGCCTCCGACACAGGTGAAAAAAGGAAAATCAACGTGCGTATACCTTCGAGGCCGTGTTGCCATTCGTTCTTTAACTTGTTCAGTGCTAGCGCCCGTAACGCGAGCGCCCAGGACAAATCAGGGTGCGTCTCCTTGTCGTGAGCTCTTTTCGAAGTACTCATGGTGCGAAAGAGAGAAGCGGGCGAAGTCTGTGAAAAGCACGAGCAACTCAAAGAACAAGCGAGCTGTTCAAGAGCAGATCCGGGACCATCCCGCTACGGATGACCCGCACCGCGATGAGAACGTCCTCGGGTATGTTGCAACGCTACACCAGTCGCATCGATCGCTAAAGTGAACGGAAGGGCGAATGTTGACACGGGGGGAGGGGAAGACACGGCACGCGCCAGGGCCGAGGGAGCGAACAACGATCAGAAGTGCGCGCGTCATGAACAAACGTCGGGACTTGCTGACAGATGTACAGAGATGAATCCCCCGCTCGATCTGACGACGGCGACGAACGCTACTGGTCCACCAAGGCCGCAACCGCCACGCCTCCGCCATCGTCGCCGCCTTCCTCTCCCGTGAAGACACCCAAGAAGGTCGCGAACCGTCGTATGAAATCGGGCTCCGAACGCAAGAAGGCGGAAATGTATGTCTCTGAACGTTTGCAATGGTAACACCCCGGTTTGACGTGTTGATCTAGGCTCCTGGATGTGGAGGCTGAGGAGGACAACGACGACATAGAAACGTACGCAGTTCCCCTCTATGTCTGACTCGGCTCATCTGTGTGTTCGCGTTTAGGGATGATGCAGAAGAGGGGTACGACGAGCACGTACGCCAGACGAAGGCGCGCAAGACGTACGTGCATCCCACGTGTTCTCGTCCTTCACGCTCACGTGGCATTGCGAACTGTAGCGGTCAACAGATGGCTTCACAGCCGAAAGAGGAACGGTGAGCGAGTCATCACTGCTACATATACCGGATTTAACGGTGTCGACAGCCACGACAACGACGGCGACGATGTACGCATGGACGACAGCCTTCCCGTTCGCGCCCTTCCGACTCATGACGTCCCCATGTCTGATGAGTAAGTACTACGACCACACGTAGTGAACTTGGTACTCACATGTTCTAGGGAGGACCAGCAAGAGTAAGCAGTCGCCTGACTGGCATCCGTTACCTTCGTTACGACGATACTAAGGGGCCAATCACAGAGAGAACATCGTCTTCTCGCACGGTGGCAGCGCAGCCGCTAGAGAGTATCTCGGTTCCTTCCACTTTGACGATAGTGACCCAGCGTGAGTCGCTTCTTCCACAGACGTGCGCACCTAAATCTTTCCATGACAGATACGCGCGAGTTAAGAGCGACGCTATATTCCAATGGTCCGGTATCTGCAACTATGCCTTTAGTATCGGAGGGTACGAGAGGTTCTTTAAATACTCGTGAGAGGCCCCCTCTTTGCTCTGACATGGCGATGACGGTTGTTCATCAGAACCGTGGGCACGTACGCGGTCGTCGACACGGAGCCTCCCGAGAACGTCGTCAGTTATATCAAGCAAGACAGAGTCATGGAACGGTCATATCCGGCGACCGACATTATGGAGTGCGTACGGCCGTCGCAGATCGCCCGCTCCATGCTCAGACAGAACCGTTACAGAATTTTCTGTTTTGCCGTCGCTTTCTTCCAAGGATCGGATTTGGTCAATCTGTCTCGCATTTCTTGGCGGTCTATCGACTTCGTCAAGGTGTCTGACAGTGCGCAAAGCGATACCCTCGGCCTCGTAGGATCCAAAGCACCCGTATACTGTGTTTCTACAGGGTTACTATCCGTCGCTTTTCTTGATAAAGATGGTAAGGACGGCATCGGTGCTAGTGGCGCTCGGCGAGGCGTACTGGTCACCCTTCTCGAGGCAGAGGCATTTCGGCTCTTCGCTTGCCTCAATCGCCTCGGGAAGATGGGCGAGACCAACTCTTTCAAGTTTCCGCTTTACGCGGATGGGATGGTTGGTTTTACGACGAAGGTGGTCAGCAAGGATGGTACGTCACGTCCCGTATACGTTTTGCCGCGCGCTGAAGCAAACGGGCGGCAGGCGCGCGGACGGGAGGAAACGGGCCGACCCTGATCTCGGCTAAGGGAGGGTGGCAACCGAAGCGGAAGATAGGTGTATTCGAATTCAACGACAAGAGTACGTGCCAAACGTTGACATACCTCTACGCGCTCCTCTTCATTCTCATAATATGTCCTTCTTTTCGGCGACTTTCTGACGCTCACCACAGTCCCCGTCCTGGACGGACAAGGTCGAAAGGACCTATGGAAAGGGGCCGAACTGGGCGTCGCCGACGTCCTTGGCCTTCCGTCATACAACGTGGACAAGCTCGTCCCGGAGCAAATGGTAAGCGTGCTGTATACCATAACGCGCTGGAAGAGAAAGACGGAAAAGGCCGCGGAAAATCTCTCTTTCAACATCGCCGCTCTGGTAGTCCTGTCAGGACCTATCGACCGCGTCGCAGCGCAGGCCAGGCTCGTGGCGCCCCGCGTCCACCCCGCCACATCTGGCGGAACCCCACGTACTGGCAAAGTATCTGTGAAGATCAACGACGCATCTGCCGGTGCGACAACATCCAAGGGACGGGGCGAAGGGAGCGGGTCCGCTAAGCGGGCAGCAGGCGGCGCGAGCGGAAGCCCGCCTAAGAAGGCGAAGAAAGACCATACGGAGTAAATCGCGCGAATAAAGAATACGTCTGTACCAAAGAAATCGAACATACATAGAGACCGTAAACTGTCCGCACGTGGGTTGACTGGCGCGATAACGGCCATCGCCGGCCGTTCAGTCCGACGCTCGATCGCAACGCAAATCTTCAGTCCACAACCGCCATGAATCTGTTCACTACAATGCTCGGTTGTCTGTATCTTCTTCTGTTTAACACCGTATCATGCTCGGGTCCATCACTATCACCAAAAGATGGTCTTTACGACGTGAAAAACATCGAGCTCTTGCGCGGCAGGATCACACCCACTCGCGACGATCTCTGCGGCTTTACATCATCGCGGTGCAGTACGCAAGCCATCTATGTCGGCACAGAGCACGACGCTGAAAACGTCGACCAAGCACACTGCGTATACGATGGTTGTGTGGAAGTATCTCAACATGTTTTCGAGCTCACTCTTCCGATCGATTATGCGTTGGCTGCTACTCTGGCGCGATACGGGGTTACGGGTTTATGCGATGCTATGGGATATGGAATATACGTGGCAGTACACACCCGAGACTTTGCACTGGCTCTTTGGCAACAAACGTCCGTGGCCTCTGTTCGAGGCTACCTGTTGTCGATTCGTCCACCTCCCTTTTCGTTTTTGGCATCGTACAGGCTTTGGCTGGAACATCACCCACACAGACACGCTGGCATCACTCGCGTGCATTCAATGCGCCATTGCATGCGTAGGGCTGATTGGACTTTTCATTGTTGGAGAATGGACGTGTCAAGTCGTAAGCGTATCGCATTGTCCGTCCTTCGCTTGCCGATCAAAACCGCAATATACCGCTCTCTCTGTTTCTTCAGCGAGTACATTACAGGGATACGTTCGCGTAGGCGAACATCGACGTTGCGAATCTTCGTCAAGAACGCCGCTACCTTACAAGCACTTAAAATGTGGTCGGGGTATTGTCAACGAACGGCGTGCGAGCATCACAAAGGCAAGACGGCCCGTATGTGTTCGCGACTTCAATTGGGTGGTGGCCCCGCCGAGATGCTATTTTCCCATACCGATATTGAGAGTGCGCTATACCGCGCACCGCAGGACTTAGACGTCAGTAAATGGAACTACCGTTTCCGCTTCCACACTTTTTTAGACGACATGACGAACCTGCCGGACAACTACGTCGTCGCGCTTCTTACACCCGAACAGTTATTCGACAAACTCACAGTGGCCAGTCTTCGCTCCGTATGTTCCGCTCACTCGATTTCTCTCGCCAAAGTACGTGTGTGTAGACAGGTAATCGCCGAGTTATTTGCCTCGCACGAGTGCGTGGGGGGGTGTGAGCTTCTGTATACCGCATTCGAAAAGGTGCCTATTGCCAACAAGCGGAAAACCGGCCGCAAATACCGTCGGTACAACGGAAAGAGGCGCAAAGTCAACAGCCAGAAAGCAATGAAGAAAATGCTTGCGGACGACGTCGACACTCAGGCTCCGGCGTCGAGCTTTCCGCCGCCCCGACCGAACAAAGAGATGATGCACCGTATCGCGAGTAACTTCTACGAAGAACTTATGAACGTCCGAGAGATAGGTTGCGCAGTTTGCGGCGAATTGAAGCCGGAAAAGGGCAGCGTGCCGATGCGAAGTATGAAACACAACTTGAAGGTCCTCGACAACAATGCTATTACTCGAAAGTTACGGACGACCGATAATGACCCTATACAGCCATTGCCTGGGCTGGTTCTAGCTGAAGGATGTGATGTTATATGCCAGGATTGTCGCGGACCGTTACGACAGATGGAAGTGCCAAGACTGGCTTTAGCCAACAATCTTTGGCTGGGAGAAGTACCGCCAGTATTGAGTAAATTGAGATACTTCGAACGTATTCTGATACAACGTGTCCGCCACAATGCCTCCTTTGTTCGCGTGGGTGGCTCATTCAAGAAGATGATAGCACATGCCATATGCTTCCCTGTGAACACGCCTCTCGTTCATGACGTCCTGCCACCACCTAGAGAAGAAATGGACGAGGTCCTCGCAGTTATGTTCACTGGTCCGTCATCACCCACGCCTGCTGATTACGCGTCTGGTAGGTTTAATCCACTACTAGTGAGACGGAAAGAAGTACAAGAAGCGCTCGAGCACCTGCGTCTTAACTCGCCTGACTACGCGGATATCACAATATCCGAAGAGAATCTACGAACTTACGACGAGGACTCTCCCCCAGTTACTATTGAGTATCGGATGATGGATACCAACATAAATCAAGAGAGCAGGAGCGCTTTTAACACGGAAGATGACCAAGGAGTGACCTCTGGCGAAGTACCGTTCGTTGTCCACGGTTTGACGGGTGAGGACTTAGACACAAAAACCGTAGAAGAGTTGAAAGGGCTTGCGCTGAAACACTTTAATGCTAATAAAGGCGTGTTGCGTGTCGGGCATGAAGAAAGCGCGGAATCTATATATCATAATATACAGTTATATCCGCGCATGTTCCCGTGGTTGTTTCCATACGGCGCGGGCGGTGTTGGTAGTACGCAAGTCGCAAAGGAGATAAAATACAGGCTGTCCGAGAAAGAGCACGTTCGTCATCTCCTTATGTATCACGATCAACGTTTTCAGCGAGACCCTGCCTTTCCGTTCGTTGCCTTCAGTCACTCGCAAGTTAAACAGACCATCACCCAGAGTTTCCTGGTTGCTAAGCAGGAACGATTCCATGACGTTATCACACGACTACTCAGCCTGAATCGCACTGTGTTGCAAAGTATAGCGACGCGAATGAGCGACGGCGAACACGTTGTTCCTGTCACAGACGACGAAAAAGAATGTTGGAAAGTCATCCAGGATATCGACAGTGTAGCGGGCCATGTAATGGGAACGACTTCCGGCAGGAAATGGATGAGAAACGAGATATGGTCCCTGATTGCTCACATAGGTTCACCCGTATGGTACATTACGATTGCGCCAACTGATATCAAGCACCCGTTGTGTTTGTACTATGCAGACACAAAGGAGGAATTCAAACCACATGTATTCCCTGACTCGGATGCACAGAAAGACGATCGGTTCCGCAAGGTGGTTAACAACCCTGTAGCTGCAGCGCGTTTCTTTCACTTCATGGTCGAGACGTTCATTAAGCATGTGCTAGGAGTCGGATCGGGATGTCCGGGTCTGTTCGGCAAGACGTCTGCATACTACGCGACTGTCGAACAACAAGGGCGTCTAACGTTGCATCTGCACATGCTCGTTTGGATAAGCGGTTCCCCTACTCCTCAGGAAATGAGAGATCGTATAACAGAGTTTGAATCAACGTACAGAGAAGAGTTAGTCAATTACGTCGAAGGCTGTCACCAAGGGCACCTATACGGAGGGCCAATGTTAGACGCGGAGGCCCGACAAGAAAGAAAACGCGCTCAACCTGGATACAAAGATCCGACGTACACCGTCTTCCCCCGTCCGCCCGTAAATTACTGCACGTGTGGCGATGCAGGTTGCAAAGTTTGTAAGAAGAGCAGACAATGGGATGTTCACTTTGAGGAGTATGTCGACGACGTCTTACTACGATCTAACGTGCACAAGTGTAGTACGCGATTCTGCATGAATAATAAAAACAGAAAATGCAAAGCGAGGATGCCGCGAGAAGTACGAGAGGAATCCGGAGTGGATATGGACACTGGCGCGCTCCGGTTCAAACATCTCGAACCGTATATGAACGACGTCTCCCCACTCATAAGCTACGTCCTCGGCTGTAACCATGACTGTACGGGACTTATGTCGGGCAGTGCGGTAAACCACATCGTTTACTACATAACAGAATATATTACGAAGATGGGCCCGCCTACACACGTGATTTTTGAGGCTATAAAAGCCGCATTCGACAGAAACTCTGAACATCTGTCGTCCAACGCAGACAGTAAAGAAAAGGCGCGGAAGTTGCTTACGAGGATGGTGAACATATTAAGTACTAAGATGGAACTCGGATCTCCCTTTATATGCGCGCATTTACTCGGCAATCCTGATCACTATTCGTCGCATCACTTCAAACCGTTCTATTGGCATTCTTATTACATGGAGGTACGAAAGTACTGGCAGGGCGCAGACGTTGCCGAATATGACGACAACGTGATTGTTCTGCGTAGGAAAGGACACGTCATTGGTGTGAATGATGTCCAGAACTATGTTTACAGGCCTGAAGAGCTCGAGCATATGAGTTTGTACGACTTCATGAGACGGTGCAAACGAGTACCTCTTCCTAAAAACAAGGAAGACGTAAACGACAACGACTCGGATGAAGCCGCCTGCACTCAAACCTCGACCGACATTTTGGATGACATTGACGAGGTTGTTGATGACCTCGGCGGCATGAGCGATGACGAACGGTGCGATACTGCCGAAAGCGGTCGTTATTGCGATGCTAACGATGCGATGGACGAAGACGGGGACGTTGTCATGGAGGACGTTTGCGACGAAGACATGGACATGTCCGTTGTGCAAGACGACCTGGAAGGGACAGAACGTGACGATAAGCCTTCACAGCCTGAATTTGACCCCGATGAACCTATTATATTTGGGGATCCACCCAAAGGAGCTCTTGCCACGAGGATGCATGCATTCGTGAAAGGGCATCCGCTGGCGAGTACACATTGCATTTGGATGAACGACAAAGACGACCCTTCGCTGGTACTGAACATGATGAGACCACTGCCGCGGAATGACAAAGGCGATAGGGATTACTACACAACGACCATGCTGACTCTTTTCAAACCGTGGAGGACAGGGGCGGACCTAAAACAACCCGAGCAACCATGGGAAGATGCCTACGCTGCTTTCCCATTTTCCGATCGTCAGCGAGAGTTGATGAAATTTTTCAACTTGCGGTGGGATTGCTTGGACGCTCGCGACAACTTCCAAATGAGGAGTAAATCGGAAGAAACGACAGGATCGTCGTACGCAAGATTCGTACCAGATGACTACGAGGTCGCTGAGGACGAGAATCATATAGAATTGGCGTTTCCTTCCAGCGACGATATTCTCACGAACAAGGCGTACAAGACAAAGAAGGAAACATACGACGACATCCAGGACTACATGAAACATCATAGATGGACTGATGCTTTAAACCAAAAGATAGACGTCACTGAATGGACCATATCCATACGCAAGACGTTCTCGGAGTGGAAAAATATTGTGGGAAACATGAGACGGTACGCTCTAGAGAAAGCGAAAGCCGACAAAAGAAGCGCGGAAGTGAACGTTCCTGTCAGGACCCGCTTCATTCCTCGCCTATCTTATCTACCGTTACCTACCACATGGCTCCCACATGGACGCTGGCCGCATAGCGCGCCTCTACTACACGAGGCCCCTTAGACTTGGTATTTTCGTTGACTCGACTCGTTTTCCGTACTCGCTGCTTTTCTATCTCGAGTTCTATTCTTTCTATCTACTTTTCTCGATCACCTCCGGCCCACCCGCGTCCGCGCCGAGTAACAACCTCGCCGTCCGCGTCTGTGCCGTCGGCGACCCGACGACCGAAGCCGAGCCTAACACAATACCAAGTCTCTAACGACGAGGTTGCGAAAGGGCCATGGCTACCAACACCATCACCCAAGAAGAACCCACGCAAAACGTGCGGCGCAATGCGCCCCGCACGTCCGACACCATCACACGCCGGGGACATCACGGCCCCGTTCCCCTTCCCACAGACTCGGCCTTCATCCCGATCGGGACTATCCCCGCGAGTCCTCAAGGAACGGCGCCGACGTATCTCTCCCCACCATACCAAAATCAGGGCAGCATGTACCAAACACCGGGGAATACCCCTTATCCCCCGTGGATGGCTCACTCGCCCTATCAGTCACAACCACAGCCGTACGGACCGTGGTACTATCCAACAGGACAGCCGATCGCGACAAACGCGTCACTTGCCAGCCCATACGCGTACCCAGAACAACACCGATCATCCATGGCGAACTACCCCAGCTTCCCCTCCATACATCTCAGTCAAGCCGAGTACTCGTCCACCCCTGCACACCCCGCCGTCCAACACTACGCGACGTCTCGACCCCAACCCCGACCGGATCCACTGGCCACGCCACGTGGACGAGCGCTGGAGGCGTGGCGAATCTTCCGCCTACTTGGAGAGCACCCCCATGCGGCGGTACCAACAGATCCCATGGACGGATACGTCGAGATTGTGCAGTGGCTGCGGTACTTCGCGGTCAGCCTGCAGCGCGGGTACGTCTGGACTCGTCACATTCCGTTTTTCAGCGACCTCCGATGCGCGAGAGAGCTCGCTGACCTATTGCGCGCCACACGCGACGTTCCCGAGAGTCATAACATTTCCTTCGAGGAATACGACTTGACGGATCTCGTGGGTAGGGCGGAGAGGTCGGGTCTAGCCCCGCTGCAGCTAAGGGAGGGAGAAGGCGTGTCCTTCATCCGCGCCGACAGAGAACCTCCCATCACTATTGGCACCGAGGTCTCGAGGCACGCTTATCCTCAACAGCGCGGCTATCAACCCCACGACTACGAGGAGCGCAGACAGTTCGAACCGAGCGAAACACCCGCACTCTCCCCGACTCAGACGCAGATAGACGCAGGAGAGGGGGAAGCGCCCATGGACCTCACCGTGCCCGAGGTGTCGATGAACAGACGCCGAAACCGAGAGGGAGCGGCGGACACGTCCCATATTGCGCTCGGGCACATACCCGCGCATGAGCGACGTCAGTCGACGCTCTGGACGGCTGAACGACTCATGCAGGAACCCTACCAGCCTGTAGTCGTTCCGCCTGTGCCGGAGAGGAGCAACAGCGTCACTGAGCTCGAGTACGCGAGCGATACGCATGAGAACGCGGTTCGAGACACGAACAGACCTCGCTCGCGAGCCTCGGCTGATACGCTAGTCGATACCTCGACGGTGTCTTCGAACACGAGGCGAGTGCGAGCAGCGAATAACATAGAGCTTACGCGCCTAGATACGCCGCCGCACATCGCCCAACAAGACGCCGAGGGTAGAGATCGAACCCGAGAGATACAGTCGGCGTCACAGCAGACATATTTCAGATTTGGTACGATCTCCCCCGACGTCGCCCGAGCCACTCAGCACGCCAACCCGCAAAACTCGGAGGACCGTCGACCCCTAGGAGTCACCTTCTACGACTCCATCCACGCCAGAGAACCGCCCGCGAGACCGAACGGCCAAGACAGCGTGAGATTGCAGAGGAAGGGCAACGACGAGCACCTCGACACGCAGTCCAACCCCGACGTCACCTATCACGGACAGCGTGAATCGTACTTCAACACGGAACCGATCGCGCCGACGCCGAGAAGTCCGGCGAGTCTGGCTCAACGGCTGCTGGGCACAGGACGGGGAGGCGCACCGCCGATACCACCCAGATCACCCCTACGACGGGCCGGCGGCGCGCCACCGCCCCCGGGACCTCCCTCGAGGTCGCCTAGGGGACCTCCATCTCCGCCTCCGCGCCCACCTCGGCGATGGCCTGCTCCGCCGCCAGCACCGATGGGATATTCTGCGGGAGGAGGAGGAGGAGGCCCACCGCCACCGCCACCACCTCAGGGACCGCCGGGTGGACCGCCGGGCCCGCCAGTACCGCCGGGTCCGCCAGGAGGGCCGCCCCTAGGTCCGGGAGGGAACAACTTCAACTGGATCCAGGAGCTCGCCTTGGCGATCCGACAAGGGACTCAGCCGCCGCCCCCTGACCCGAGGAGGCAGGACGAGGAGAGGGCGCGGGCGGAAGAACGCAGGCAACGCGAGGACGAGAGACGGCGTCTTCAGGACGAGCTCGCGAAAGAGAAGCTCATCGACGTGGCCCGACCCGAGAAGTTCACGGGACGCGACCCGTCGATGTGGCGCAAGTGGGTGGACAGCATCCACCTCCACTTCCGAGCTAAGCCCCTCACCTACGCCGCGCAACAGTCGCGTATACTCTTCGCCGTCTCCTATATGACTGACTTAGCGCAGGCGCATTGGCAGAACCTAGTCACGTACCGACCGCACCACGAGGCCCTGGTGCACTACGACAAGTTCATCAACGAATTTGCGCGACAGTTCGACATTGCCGATCCCCAGGCAGACGCCCGAGCCGAATACAACACCATGAAAATGGAGAACGACGAGCACTTCACCGCCTATATCGTCGAGTTCGAGAGCGTAGCGCAGCGGACCGGGTTCAACGAGGCGCACTGGATGGCGCGCCTCGAAGACAGCGTCCCCGATCGCATCCTCGATGCGGCGCAATACGCCCCCTCGTCGCGCAACTTCGAGGAGATGAAAACCCTGTTCACGGTGCTGGACAACAAGTACTGGAAGGACAAACAGCGACGCGAGGCGGCGCGGAAGCAGTCCAACCAGTACAACAGGGTTTCAGGCTCGGCGAACAGGCTGGAGCGACGCTTCGACTCGAGGGGGAGCGGGCGAGACGCGGGGAATAGGGCGAATAACGCTCCCGCGGCGACGAGCGCACCCGCGCGACCGAACCCCACGCCGAACACGGCGAGTGCGCGTCCTCCTAACGCGGAAACGCCCAACGCACAGGATCGAGCGGGGCAGACAAACCGCGTCACATACCGACAGAGAACGGGTCTCTCGCGGGAGGAGATCACACGTCTGCGCAGCGAGGGCAGGTGCTTCGGGTGCAAGCAGACGGGTCATATGTGGGGGGACCCGGTTTGCCCAGTGCCCAAGCCCGCCCGCGGACGCGCGACGTACTTCTTCTCGGGCGACGAGCTGGAAATCGAATGGCAGGAGGAGGAGAGGGAGGCCCCGATCCGAGACGCGCTCACGGACGCGCTGGGCGAGTACGCAACGGAAGGAGAGGATGAACTTGAGGAGGGGGGAGTTTCGGAAGGGCACTACTCATATCACGAGCACGAGTCGGGAAATGTATCGCGGAACTGAATAATGGACAGAGCTCTTCAGTTCCGATCACCATGACCCACGCTCTGCCAACCGAAGAAAACAAGGAGCTCGACCCCCAACTCCTCAACGCGGTAGCGACCCTACCTTCGCATTCGCACCAGTCGTTCGTCTTAGAGGTGGATATTCTCGAGACGGGGGACAAAAAACAACGAGCGCTCATCGATACGGGCGCGTCGAACAATTTCGTGGACTTCGACATATGCACCAACGTTCCCCACCTCCAGCGCGCGCTACCGCGCGAGATCCCATTAACACTCTTCGACGGCGCCCCGTCCTCCGCGGGAGCCCTCAAGCACCGCATCCCATTATCCTTACGCTTCGACAACGATACGACCCAGCAGGAGAACTTCCTGATCACAAAACTGCACCCCTCGACACCCGTCGTGCTAGGAATGCCTTGGCTACGGAAGCACAACCCCCAGATCGACTGGACCTCGCTGACGATCCAGTTCGGCGAGACGCTCAGGGCGGTGACCTTCGAGCCAGAGACGCGCACACAATACCGGAGCGTAGTCATCAAAGTCCTACCGCGAGACGAAGACGACTGGGTAGGAGAGGCCCCGGACGACCCCAACACGATACTAGAGGATGTGGTGGGCCCTCAACCACAAGAGGAGACTCGCGACCTCGCTTGGGACGAACCCGGGGGACCTCGACAGCTGAACTCCAAGCAGCGCAAACGACAAAAATCCAAGAGAAGTCCTTCCCCACCCTTATCAGCTAACCGTTCGCCCAGCAGAGGACGACTATTACGCCCTTCAAAATACATGGGCAGACACGATCCGCCTCGCTCGGGGAAGGCGCGCAGCTCTTCCACGAGGGAGGGCTCGAGATCGCCGGCGAGGACGGTAACGCCGCGAACCTCACGCGACGCGAACACCTCGGGACCGACGGTCACGCCGTCGAACTCAGAGGAGGCCGCGCACGCGGGATTCACACTCATCGGCGCGACACCCATGTCACGACTCATCTCCCGGGGCGAACCAGTTTACATGTTGCAGATACGACCCGAGACGCACAAGTCGGAGCACTTACGCGCCACCGACGAAGGGGACCGCGAGCAGGAGGGAGGGAAGGAAACCACGACACAGCCGGAGTCTCTGGACGAAGAACTACGACGCCATGTCCCCGAGCAGTATCACGAGTTTCGAGCGGTATTTTCCGAGGAGACAGCAAAGGAACTACTGCCACACCGCGAACACGACCACAAGATCGAGTTGGAGGACGGCGCGACACCGCCGTTTGGGAAGATTTACAGTATGTCCGAGAGGGAGCTGACGGCTCTCAAGGAATACTTGGATGAGATGCTAGGGAAGGGATTCATACGCTCCTCGACATCGCCAGCGGGGGCACCGGTCTTATTTGCCCCCAAAAAGGATGGCAAGCTACGCTTATGCGTAGACTATCGGGGACTGAACAAGATCACGAGGAAGAATCACTACCCTCTACCCCTCATTGGCACGCTGGTCGATCGTCTTCGTGACGCGAAGATCTATACCAAAATCGACCTGAGATGGGGTTACAACAACATCCGCATCGCTGAAGGCGATGAGTGGAAAACAGCATTCCGCACGCGATACGGCTCATTCGAGTACCTTGTCATGCCCTTCGGGATGACCAACTCCCCTTCCACGTTCCAACGCTTCGTCAACGACATTTTCCATGATATGCTCGACGTATTTGTAGTCGTATACCTGGACGACATCCTGGTATATTCTAACAACGAACAGGAGCACGAGAAACACGTCCGACAGGTCCTCCAACGTCTACTCGAACACGACCTACACGCGAGACCGGAGAAGTGCGACTTCCACGTCAAGGAAATCGAATATCTGGGTATGATCATCACGCCGCGAGGCGTGAAGATGGACCCGCGGAAGGTGCAGACGGTCCTCGACTGGCCGCCGCCCAAGAACATTAAGGAGCTACAAGCTTTTCTAGGGTTTGCAAATTTCTACCGCCGCTTCATTGACAATTACTCAGGAATTGTGCACCCGTTAACCCGCCTTCTCAAGAAGAACCAACCCTGGAACTGGGACGACGCGTGCGAGACCGTCTTTACGCTACTCAAGAACGCCTTCACGGAAGCCCCCATCCTGCAGCACTTCAACCCCGACCTTCCCATTGTCGTCGAGAGTGACGCCTCCGACTGGGCGATAGCGGCCATTATCTCCCAGTACGACCCCGAGGACCAGGAGATACACCCGGTCGCATTCCACGCGCGGACGTGCTCACCCGCCGAATGCAACTACGACGTCTACGACCGCGAGCTGCTCGCCATAGTGGAGGCCTTTAAGGTGTGGCGACCGTACTTAGAAGGGGCGCGACACACGGTCGATGTCTACTCCGACCACAACAACCTCCAGCACTTCACGACGACCAAGAACCTAAATCGCAGGCAGGCACGGTGGTCCGAGTATCTCTCCACGTTCGACTTCGTTATACACTACCGCCCAGGGAGACTAGGCGGCAAACCCGACGCACTCACCCGGCGGCCCGACGTCTACCCGAAGGAGTCCTTCAAGACACACGCCAAAGCGTTCAACGACCGCATCCTCATCCCAGCGGAACGACTCTGCGCGATGCACCTTCTCGGCGTCGATCTGGAGCTGCAGCGCATTCGCGACGCGCCCGACGACGACCATTCGAGAGGGGGGAAGGAGGAGGCGAAGAAACGACCGGGAGGGCAGTACTCGACGACGGAACGTGGCGACTTACTCCTACGCGACGGCCGGGTTTACGTGCCAGCCCACGAATCCCTGCGCGCCGACATCATCCGAGCGCGACACGACCATAAACTCAGTGGACACCCGGGCGTTCGGAGGACGACAAGACGAGTGATGGAAGAGTACTACTGGCCAGGTATGCGCAAAGATATTCACAACTATTGCGTTACCTGCCCAGATTGTCTACGCACGAAGGCGGCGCGCCACAAGCCCTACGGCGAGCTGCGACCGCTCCCAGTTGGAGAGCGCCCATGGTCGTCAATATCGATTGACCACATCGTCGCGCTACCGCTGTCGGAGGGCTACGATGCGGTGCTGGTCGTGGTATGCCGTCTCACCAAACAGGCTATATTCATACCCTGCCACACCACCGACGAAGCCCCCGACTTTGCCAAGCTCTTCATACGCGACGTCTTTAGCAAACACGGACTGCCGGCGGACATTGTCTCGGATAGAGGCGCGTTATTCGTCTCTCACTTCTGGCAGTGTCTGTGCGACGCTCTCGGCGTCAAGTCCAACCTCTCGACCGCGTATCATCCCCAAACGGACGGACAGACCGAGCGCGTCAATCAAGCGCTCGAACAGTACCTCCGGGCGTTCGTGAACTACGACCAGGACGATTGGGCGCCACAGCTCCCTATCGCCGAATTCGTGTACAATAACACCGCGCACTCCTCCACGGGGATAACCCCCTTCTTCGCGAACAAAGGCTACCACCCGCGCCTCTCTGTCGCGTTCGACAACATCCCGGACCATCGGGTACACCTGGTAGCGCGCGACTTACGCGAGCTCCAGGAGCACTTGAAGCAGGAGGTGCAGAAGGCAGCTGACGAGATGAAGAAGTACGCCGACCGCAAGCGCGGGAACACGCCGGACTGGAAGAAGGGTACTAGGGTGATGCTGGACCTCAGGAACATCAAGACGAAGCGACCGACGAAGAAGCTGGACTACAAACGACTGGGACCGTTCACCATCGAGTCGAAAGTCGGCACGCACGCCTACCGCCTCAAGCTACCGAAGTCAATGTCGCGCGTCCACCCTGTATTCCACGTCTCGCTACTCCACGAGGTGCCGGCGGATACGTTCGCGAGACGGCCACCGCAGAGAGCGCCGCCGGTCGAGATCGACGAGGAGGGGTACGAACAGTGGGAAGTAGGAGAGATACTGGATTGTAAGGTGGTGGGGGCGAAAGGGAAAAAACGAACGGTGAAATACTTGGTGGATTGGAGAGGATTTGGTCCGGAAGCGCGCACCTGGGAGCCGGCGGCGGGACTAACGAACGCGACCAAAAAAGTCGACGCCTTCCACGCGACTCATCCCGACAAGCCGCGCACGGTGCAGGAGTGGGACGCGCTCGCGCCGGGGAGACCTCGCAAGAGGGGGAGGAAGCAGAAGCAGTAGTGGAACGCACGACGAAGGGAAAGACACTAATTTATAGAACAAAACAGAAAACAAACAAAACCGTCACACAAAAAATCATCGACATCCCACACAACAACCAGCATGCATACACGACATCTCGACTACGACACACACACAACGCCTACAGTACACGACTACGATACACAACCACGACTCGACAAAAGACCAACCACGCTAATCAACGTCGGCCAGACCGCCAGCACGCTCGACAGCCCCGCCGGCACGAGAACCTTGGGAGCGAGGGGAAGTAGCGCGGGCGGATGCGCTGGGAGACACGCGACCGTAAGTACCGCGAAGGCGCTCAAAGCCATCGCGCGCACGACGAAGAACACGATCGTAGAGGGCACGAGGAACGCGGAGGCGCAACTCCTCCATGAGCTCGCGGATTTGCGCGCTCAGGCGATTCGTCTCGTCGACGGCCTCCCTACGGACAGACTCCAGCTCCAGCTGCACACGCCGCTTGTCCGCCTCGAGGTTACGAACGTACTCGCGCTCGAAGTGCAGCTCGCGAATGTAACTCTCGCGCTGGAGCTTGACGTCGACCAGCTCCTCGTGTTGCACGTTGAGGCGCCGATCCGTCTCATGGAGGCGACGAGAGGCGTCATCGCGCTGATCTTCCACCACGGACAGCGCATCGCGAAGGCTGCCGACCTCCTGACGAAGACCGCGGTTCTCGCCTTCGAGGTCACGCACACGAGCGGCCTGACGCGTACGCGATCGATGAGCTCGTTGAAGGGAGCGGTCGCGGTCACGGACCTGTTCGCGAAGCTGGGCGTTCTCGCGGTCGATCTCGATGAGAGCAACACGAATCGACGAGAGCTCCTCCTGAGGGGTTTCGCCGGCGAACGGAAGAGGGAGCTTAAGAGGACGTTAGCGAGGACGGGGGAAGGAGGCGATCCAGCACGCACCGCGACGCCACCCGCGTTCACACCCGCCTCCGTCGCCACACCCTCGACAGCAGAGACCGGGGGCACAGGCGAGACGTTGCCAAACCGCCACTCAGCTACAGAAGAGCGTCAGTACCGACCAGCAGACCCTCGACTCGGCGTACCGGAGTTCACCGTCGCCGCAGGTTCAGGGGACGACGGGGATGCGGGGGACTCAGGAGACAAAGGCTGCAGAGAGGGACTCCCAGCACGCGAGCCGGGTTGAAGGGCACGGGGGAGAGCGGGATCGCGAGGAGATTTGGATGCAGAACGAGACATGGGGCAAGCGACAGACAAGAGACGGGGGAGCAGATCAAAGGGAGACGGGGGAAGGAGGGAGACACTCACCTTCTTGAACCCAGAAACGCACCTCCTACACGCGTATCGGATCGATATCGCCATCGCCACACCCATCCCACGCCGCTACCGTCCTCCCGTGACGCACTCATCGCGATCCCCCACGCAAGCTCGATAGAAGTTCAGCCCAGATCGAGAAGGGCGAGGGACTTACCACGAGCGCTCCTACCCGAATCCGATGCTCCAGACGCACTGGGCCACGCCGAGGGGACCACCAGCCCAACCATCCTCCGCTCCGCCCCCTTCCACAACCACAGCTCAGGCAAGGAGCGTCGACGAGAGGGTCCACGGGCGACAACACGCATCGCTGAGTCCAAGACGCCTTCCCCGCGCCGGGTCGATCGGGCCGATTACCGCGGCCCACGCGATCACGCGACGGCGGCCCGACTCGGCCACGTCCGCGAGTTCGAATCCACCACCCGCCGGAGCAGTTCAAGTCCGCCGACTCAGGGAGTCGACTTTAGAGGGGGGGGTACTGTCAGGACCCGCTTCATTCCTCGCCTATCTTATCTACCGTTACCTACCACATGGCTCCCACATGGACGCTGGCCGCATAGCGCGCCTCTACTACACGAGGCCCCTTAGACTTGGTATTTTCGTTGACTCGACTCGTTTTCCGTACTCGCTGCTTTTCTATCTCGAGTTCTATTCTTTCTATCTACTTTTCTCGATCACCTCCGGCCCACCCGCGTCCGCGCCGAGTAACAACCTCGCCGTCCGCGTCTGTGCCGTCGGCGACCCGACGACCGAAGCCGAGCCTAACAGTTCCCATTGGGGCGCGGAGCCACGCGGGCGTCGACGTAGTGAACAAAGCGTATTTAACTCGCAGTTTCGTAGCACCGGACCGTGTAAACTTGATAGAGAACATAGCGCGACAGTACAATTTAAACGAAGACCAAGAGAGAGCATTCCGAATGGTGGAAAACCATGCATCCACGCCCGGTATGCCTCAGCTTCGAATGTACATCGCGGGCATGGCAGGCACGGGTAAATCGCAAGTAATAAAGGCGATTCAAGCGCTATTCATTGCTAGAGGCGAAGGTTTTCGGTTTCTCATCCTGGCGCCAACAGGTACAGCGGCATCGTTGGTGAAAGGGTCAACATATCACTACGTTCTAGGTATCAACGACAAGAAGGTAAACTCTGGTTTCTTGAACATGAAGAATCGCGGTGAGGTGAAGAGCCGGTTGCAAGGCGTGGATTACATATTCATAGACGAGGTCTCCATGTTGTCATGTTTGGACTTATACACCATAGGGAGGACGTTGTGCGAGATTCAGAATCAGCCCGATGAACCATTCGGAAAGTTTAACATAATATTCGCTGGAGATTTCGCCCAATTGCCCCCGGTCGCCGGTGGAGAACACGGTTCGCTGTACAGCAGGACCATTGGGCGATACAGCACAGACGCGAAGAGTCAGAAAGCAGCGCTCGGGAAGGTTTTGTGGCACCTTGTCACGGACGTCGTAATCTTGAGATCGAACATGCGCCAAAAGGGATGCACTAAAGACGACCTGAGAATGATCCGTGCGCTGGAGAACATGAGATTCTGTGCTTGCGACGCAAGAGACTTCGCATGGTTGAGATCGCGACTTGCAGTATCACCCCTTAGCAAGATCGACATAACGTCCGAACGGTACCGGCATGCTTCAATAATAACCGCGCATAACATTATCAAAGACGGTATCAACGACTTAGGAGTGCGCCGATACGCACAGGAAACGGGACAAGTTCTTGAGTACTTCTATGCGGAAGACAGGCTACGCGTAGGACAAGACAGTGTATCCACGCCTATACCCGTGCACATTCAGGAACTGCTGTGGAAACAGCCGCCGACTTTCTGTGACTTGCGTATACCCGGTCGATTAGCTCTATGTCGTGGGATGCCCGTCATGATACGGACGAATGCCGCCACCGAACTGTCAATGACAAAGGGACAGGAAGGCATCGTTTACGGTTGGGATGCTAGAGATATGGGAAATGGACGACTCACGTTGAATACCCTGTTCGTAAAGCTGGACAATCCGCCGACGAATGTGCAGTTCCCGGGTCTACCTCCCAACGTCGTCCCGATGGTGCGCACTACAAACTCTGTGAAATGCGACATGCCACATCTGAATAGCAAGCTAAAAGTCTCAAGATCTCAGGTTGAGGTGTTGCCGAACTTTGCGATGACCGATTATGCGTCACAAGGAAAGTCAAGAGATATAAACGTAGTCGATTTACAAGATTGTCGTAATCATCATGCTTATTATGTTGCGCTATCCCGGGGACGCAGCTCAGACGGCACCGCAATCATTCGCAAATTTGAAGAGGGTAAGATCACAGGTGGTTGTAGCGGGGCTTTGCGTCAAGAATTCAGGGAATTGGAACTCTTGGACGACATAACAAAGCTACGGTACGAAGGTCAATTACCGTCCCATATAAATGCGCATAGACGCTTAGATCTTATTGCTCAGTACCGGAAGTGGCGGGGTGCAGAATACATGCCTGCGACGGTAGCAGCCGCGATAAAATGGCGAGACGGTAAACCCGTGTACGACAGCAAAGGACAGTGGTCGAACTTGGACGTTTGGTGTTCGTCGCCGTCACCTGCCATTGATTGGCAGGACATAACAGTGAACGCGGAGAATAAAGGTAGTTTACCCAAAGAACATATCCACCGGGCTTTCGTACCCTTGGAAGAGGTGAGGAAGGACAACAAGCGTCGCGCCGTAGAGGGCGTCTCGGTCATTCGCAAAAAGGTGCGCATGCAAAGTCCTGAGAGCACGTCAGAAGATACGCCTGAGCCCCTGCTCACACACGGTCCGCGCTGGAGTGACAACAGTTGTGCTTATGACACTGTGCTTGCGATCATTGCGTGGATGGTCGCCGAAGATGAACACATGTGGATGCCGATGTTGGAGAACTGGGGACAGTCTCCCATGCGTTCTATAGCGCGCGACGTCAGAAACGGTATACGGGGCGAGGCGACAATGTGTACAGCGAGGGACACGTTGCGCGACTTATTAGAACAAATCGACCATACCAAGTTCCGATACAACCAATTAACAAGTGTCGTCGAGGTGATAAGGGCGGCCACCAAATTGCCAACTGTAGTGATACGCAGACAGACGTTCTGCAGAACAGACGTTCAACATCACATCCCAACCGGCCATCGCACTCGAGATTACAATAGCCTGTTCATAGAAGATCCCATGTACGAAGAAGATGTACCATCGAAATGGTTTTCCGGAATGCCGTGCACCTCGATGAGAGACTGTACGACTTGCGGTCGAAGGTTACAACAGCGCGCCAAACTGCTCATGCGTGCGCCATTTCTTGTCTTTGACGTCCAGCCTGAACACCACAGGATCCGCCCGCGTTTCTCGGCCATGCTCATGAACGGAAGATGCGAATACGTCTTGAGAGGCGTCATTTACTACGACGCGCTTCACTTCACGGCCCGTGTGACGAGTCCGACAGGTGAGGTGTTTAAATATGACGGTATGCAAGGTAATGGGGAGTTTATGTTCGAAGATACGTATGAACAAATTGTTGATTGGAGAACGCTACACGGTCGATCCGCGACGCTCGCATTTTACGCGCTGAACGTTTGATCTTCCCAGGAGCAGTGCAAGCGACCGGGTGGGCTCGCAGCGGAGAAGTCGTACGTAGGCGTACCGAGGCAAGACACGCGCAAGCAGAGTCGCTCAATGACGCAATAACACACTGATGTGGAGTCGCGCAATACCTTCTTATAAGTTGTCGGGCCTTTTCTAACTTCATCACCATGCACGCCAGACGTCAATTCATAGACAAACAATGTAAAAGCGTAACATTCCATGCAGACTCCACGAAATGGGGCCAGAGCGAGACATTGACGTCGACGAAGTCCAGTTACATGTGCTCTTCGTCGTCAAAGGTGCACTCCAGATCTTCGTCGTCACTGTACTTGGTCTTGGTGACCTCGTACACCTCCAGCGTCCTTTTCAAATCTGCAACGACCTCCTTCATCTCTTCAGGATCGTCTTGAAGCTATTGCTTGAACATGAGATGATGAACGAAGGCATTTGAGATCACTTACGCGACGCAACTTCCAATAGAACTTGTTGAACAAGTTGATGAAGTTCGCTTTGACATCTCGCAGGTCCGCTGCCTGGCGCCGACATGTCAAGGCCAGCTGCTTCTGAGCATCGCGAGCTTCAAACTCTCTCTCGTCGCAAAGAGCCTCACGCGCTTGAATGTCGCCCAGCTTTATAGTGGCAACCTCTAAGCGTGCCTTGGCCTCGTCGCGCTCGGAAAACGCGGCGTTGATCAAGGCTAGAACCTCCTATACAACGGTTTGGATGAGCTCGGCGTCAGGCGCGCTGTGGTCTGGCGCTTACCGCCGTAACGTCCGAAGATGTGGTGGGAGATACAGTGTTCGACATCGATGCGAAGGGCGATGTCAGTGACGAGTGCAAGACATACGGATTATATATGGAGGTTGCCCTGACCGCATGGTGATACGCCCTGCGGCTGAAAAACGCGGAAAAACATACATAAACAAGCGATATATAGTCGACTTGGTCTAGATTGTATGGGCGGATCCGTATATACTGCACCGCCGTCGCGACTGTACAACGGGCGCGTCGGGGGTATTTTATGACATAGAAAACCAGGAGCGCCACGCTTCCTAACCTTCAATACAACTAGTCCGCAGCATTATCCGTCTGCAATGACTGACCAAGGATAGCAGCGAGCTCTTCGGCGCCTGATCACGAGTCTGCGCGTCGTCGATGACATCCTGCGAGTCCTTTGGCGGGCCCTACTTAATCAAGTAGCCGCGCTATACGCGCCTCAAGCCTTCAGTCCTCTTGCCCTGCTGTGTCAAGAGAATCTAGATTATTGTTGGGGCTCGGACAAGCCTTCCTGCTGCTCGCCGTCATGCGGAGACACGC